GTGTGCATAATCTGTGTGGTGCGTGTTGTTAGCATTAGCGTTAGCAGCATGTCAGTTTGAGGGCTAGAGCCTTCACTGCTTTGAGGACCCTTTTTCCAAAAGCTGCAGTTTGTTTGTCCACATGACAACGCAACGCCGACGTTCTCAGATTTCTCCACTCTGGAACCCGTTCCAGAGTTCCTTAGACCACTGAACACAACACTGTCACACACACAGATCTTTAAGACCAACAGTGTTGAAACTGTCATCACAGCTGGAAAGTGTCAACTCTGTCTCTCCATTCTGATCCATTGATTTAAACAGAACTGGAGTGAGTCCATAAAGGCAGCTAACATAAAAGTTACAAAAAGTAAATGTACCATATGTGTTTAAAAAGGGAAAAACTTGCAGTTTTGTCAATTCCGTCATTCGTCATGTCTGACAGAGTTGACCGATGACAAACCTGTACCCTCTAAATGTGATAAGAAAATAAAATTAGATTAAAAATTGTCATTTCACAGTTTAAGTTGGGTATTATGTATGTAAATACAGCCTGAATAATATAATTTATAATGATGAGTTAAATGTGTGACAGAGTTGACATTTTATGCTGACAGAGTTGATAAACTGACCAACATCAAACATTAAATGTTTGATGTCCGGTTTTCTTTTAAAAATGTGCCATTCAATAGATTATTACATTTTCATCTTTTGAAATCGTATTGTCTGTAAATGATCTCATGTATTTTCTGCACTTCTGCTACTTTTGTTTATAAGCATTGTAATGCGTCTGTTCCAAAATTATAGTTCATGCTTTTATTTTGAAAGGCCGTTGTACAACAGGAAGCGGCCATGAGAGAGCGGATGTTTACCTCCCGTCTAACAGCTCTGCGGCTAACTGACAATTAGCACAACGGAAAGTTTTGTTTGTTTAATCTAAAAGTCACTGAAAATTGAATTATTTAATCTATGGTCCATCCCGCTTAGCACCTGGTCGATGTGGGAACAAGGTTAGTCATGAATCATATTGGAATTACTTTGCTTTTGGAAATGTTTTGTTTGTACGTTGAGCCGCTCTAGTTTAGTGCCAATGTGTTATAATTTTTGTCCACTAGATGGCGCCAGTGCGCTTTTTCTTAAGCAATGTTATGCACAGTTTGACAAATTTATTTTAATGTGTAATTTCTTGTTCAACATGGATTTAAAAAAATCAGACTTTATGAGATTTGTTATTGTAAACAGTACTTGTTGATCAGATTGTCAGTTTAGAGATTGTCATAAATGGGTAAATGGTTAAAAGGAGAAAAAGCTACACTGTAAGAGCTAATAGTTTTTATTTCATTTTTTTTTTAAAGCTCTTACGGTGTGTTCACAAAAAAAGGCCCAAAAATAAAAGTTGTGAACCATCAGTATATGAGACCATCATTTCAACTGGGATGCTACATTGTCAGATTTCACTTTAATTATGAACCTGCTGTAGCCTAACCATGTTGTAAAACTAAAGTTTCAAAGGTTCTAATGCAAAGTAAAACATGTAAAATCATTGATATCAATTAAAAACTCATGGAGGGGCAGAAGAGAGAGAGAAGGAGGGGATAGAAACATTGGAGGAGCAGAGGAGAGATAGAGGAGGATAAAATGTGGCTGCAGACTCGAGACAGATGGTCGAGGACGAGGAGAGTGGATGTTCTTCTACAGAGTTTGGAGTGAAGTGGAAGTGAAATAATTGTCTGTGTTGTGCACTCTGGTCAGTGTTAAATCTGTAGCATCTGTTGACATGCAGATTAAAACATATTTGTTCAGTTTTCAGCAGTGTTCACACATTTCATCAACTCAGTTTTTGTCAACTCTGTCAGATCTGTACATTTATTGGGTGTTTTTGTCAAATTTGAAAGAAACTTGAATTTCATGCAGTTTCACTTCATGCAGTTTAAATTTTAAAGATATTAATATATGTAACTAATGTGTGTGCATTATTTACAAAAATGTATTTTCTAATATAAGAAGCATTATTTTGAAAATAAGATATTAAGAGTAAAACTACAGTTTCTGTTTTCAGATGTACTTTAATTGGACATAATGGTGAAAAAGACTTATTACGACATATATCCAACTAAAATTTAACTTATAATCTAATTTGATGTGTTTTAGTGTGTCTGATGGAGTTGACAACAATTGAGGTGTATCGGGAAATATGACATTTTGTGTAAAAAATGTTTTTATTCTCAACCCTCAGATTTCCTCAACAAATACAACGCTTGAAAAAAACCTTTCAAAACCTGTTTTGTCCCGACTCAAGAATCATATACTATAAATCACACTTGTGCCAGGTGAGGGTCAATTATGTTTAATCTGATTAGTTTTAGGATAAATTATTGTCTACAATTTAATTTAATGACAAAAAACTCCAAAAGCGACTCAGTGCCATTCATAATCCACCAGTGCCAACACAGGCGTCTCTGTCAGATTTAGTCTGGTGGTGCAGGAGCTCGACTCACTACAGACTCTTCATCTGAAGCTTAAATCAACAGTTTTAAAACTCAAACTCATCAGGACTGATACATTTTTGCCACACTTACTCTGGTTGTGAAGCTCAACAGATCTTGAGTTTTGGAGCTTGGAGTAGCAATGTTGGATGGTCTTCCACAAACAGCTGTGTGAATGGAGTTGATAAAGCTGGACTTTCCTGCCCCGACTGGTCCATAAATCATGATTCGCAGTTTCGACACGTCTGCATTTGTCGGTTGATACGTTTTCACATATTCCAGATTCTCTTCTCTCCTGTTGAGAACAGTGATTCATTAATATTAGTTTATTTTTCTGTGGAAAGTAATAGTCCATCTCAAAGAATTAGAATAACATGAAAAAGTTCAATATTTTTTATCCCTCATTTCAGAAAGTCAAACTCATATATTATATAAACTCATGACACAGAGTGAAATATTTCAAGTGTTTATTTCTTGAAATAGTTTTTTGCGGTTCACAGATAATAAATAACACAAATTCTGTGTTTCAGCTTTGAGATGATTCTCAAGCAAAATTCACTAAAGAATTTGTGGGAGCTTCATAAGGAGTGAACTGAGTCTGGAGTCAGAGCTTCAAGAGCCACTACACACAGACATGAAACATACAGAAGATGTAGGAGTGTTTTCCTATTTGTTTTTTGACTCTTGGGACAACAAAAAATATCTGATCTGTGTGACATAAACGATAAGAGGATCTGAATGGAATTAAATCTGTTTGCTGATATTTGGGATCACTGAGATGAATAAATTCTAAGATAAATAATAAACAGTGAAGTTGACGTCGGAGAAACAGAGTGAGCAGGACAGATGGAACATGACAGTGGAGAGTTCTGAAGAGACAGCGGAGAATAAACCTGCACAGACTGTTCGAGATAAACACTGAGTTGGAGGATTGAAGTTGTGGAGTTTTGATAAATGATATCACAATCATCTAAACTGGGAATTCGATGTCACTGTCGAAACAGCCTGGGCTTCTATTTGACCTGAGCAGAGCCACAGGAGGATCTCCTCCAGGCCACGACGCACTGACGCACTGACGCACTGATCCAGGCAAAAGACCCGACCAAGTACTGAGAGCAGAAAAATGAACACTTTTCAAAAACCTGACATTTCTGTTTCAAATATACATTTTTTATTGATCTTATGTAATATTCTAATTTTCAAAGACACTGACTTTTGTTTTTTTCATCATCTGTAACAATCTGCCACAATCATAAAAATTCAAAAATAAATAAACTATAAATAATAAAATATTTCACTCTGTGTCATGAGTCTATATAGTACAGGTTTGACTTTCTAAAAATGATATTTAATTTTTTCATGATACTCTGAGTATTTGTGATGGATATATAGTATATTAAATAAGTGCGTTTATAGGAATGCTCACCCCCATTTTATCTCTCTCCATGGTGGTGGTGTGTGAACTACAGAAACATCATAAAACACACAAGCACAATTAATGTGATCAGATTATTTAAACTATAAATGATTTGAGAATTTATGCACAATATCTTACACAAGCTTTGTACAATGCCCATAGCAGCAATTCAAGAAAGAGCTGAAACAGTAAAAACAAATGTGATTCTTCATGTTAGAGCCAGTAGTGAGTTTTTACAGTGACAACAAATAGTTAAAAGTGAGACTTACCTTCCACCTTAACGCGACGAAACAAAAGTCTGACTGAAGCCGTGCGCAGACCGTACAGAAAACAAATATGTTCAGAGACAAGAAAGGACCAGTCCAAAAAGAACCTACTTCCTGCATCAAACCACAGAGTGCTGTAAGTGGCACTTCAGGACAGACTGAGGAGGGAGGGAGCAGGATTTAACTGTGAGAGACACTGATCACACAGGTGCAGTGAGAGACGGAGACGGACGAAACACTATGGGCTGTTTTCAGTCTTTGTGCTTTTGGCAAACTTGGAACTGTTGTCAAACTGGGAGCTCTCTGCAAACTGGCAGTAATGACACTGATGGCCAAAGTCAGTCTTGTTTGAATAGCAGTGAAGGTAGGTTTTTCAACTCCAAGTAAAATCCATAAATCATATATGTAACTGTAATTAATGCACATTATATATATGCATTAATTATATCTATATCTATATCTATCTATCTCTCTCTCTCTCTCTCTCTCTCTCTCTATATATATATATATATATATATATATATATATATATATATATATATATATATATATATATATATATATATATATATAGATATATGAGAGAGAGAGAGAGAGAGAGAAAATGCCAAGCTTGAAATGGATCTTTTTATGAAATGATACTGTTGAGTCTCGATTTGTTTGTTGCTTTCCTAACACGGTTTTTTCATTATATTCAAGTTTTAATATTTAACTGAAGAATCATAGCCTAATAATCTTTTGAATTTGTCTCAGGTCTTAACAATTTGTCCTTTTCTTTTCAGAAAATGCATCACCAAAAGTCTTCCTTATAGTTGAAGGGGAAATATATGATAATGATAAGAGAATTATTGAGAAGAATCAAAGTTGATCCCATCAACAAAGTAGAAGACTGTGACTTCATCCTTCTCTTTTGTTCAGTCCCTAATCGTCCTGCTTCAGACGTGAAAGCAGCCATGGACAAAGTCCCAGGTACAACTACAATACAAATGTGCTAAAAACTTTGTTTTAGTTTGAGTTTAAATCAGGGGCATTCAAACTTTTTTCATTGATATTTGAAATGGAAGGCCACAGACTTCACATTGGAGCATTTTACAGTTTTGATAGAGCCCCTGTACCTTTAATAAGGCTTTGAAAGGCAACCTTAAGTCTGTATCACAGAAAAATTTGATGCGATTAAGGTAAAAGTGCTAAAATTACTTAAAGTTCTGCTATGAGAAGTTGGGCCAATTTGGCAGAAGGCAGGAAGGCTATAGCAAAAAATGGCCAGAGAGCCATATTTGGCCCCTGGGCCATAGTTTGGACACCCATGCTTTAAATAGAGTATTTTGTTGATTTCTGTACTCTTCTTGTGTTTATAGTCTACATCAAAAGAACAAAATCTAACATGAGACAATGTGCACATCCGTGTAGGTGTGACTGTGTTTTTGGTCATGTGGCACAACTAAGGTTCAAGGTTTTTTTTGTATGTATTTTTTAGATAAATTTATACTGAATGAACCTAAGAAGCCAATAGAAAGTCAAGGAAGTCAGGGATTTTGTACAAAGAAATATTGAGCACTGAATCTACAATTCTGGTGCAGCCAGTAGATCAACAACGAACAAGAAACAGGAAGAGATATGAATAAAAAGATAAAAAACTACAGTTACGCAAATTCAGACAAAGTGCAGTGACAAGTCCTCTAGGAGTTAAAAAGTTAAATTATATAAAACGGTCATCAGATTGTCTTCCTACGTGGAACACATTTTACTTCCTAAATACATTTCTTTTATACTTTCTTTGTTTTGTATGTATTTAAATGTTTTGTTATTTTTGTTTTGCAGACAAAGAGAAACCTGTGATCCTCGTTACAATGTCCTACGAAAGAAAGGAAGTCGAAACAATAACTTTTGCAAATTACCAGAAGGATTATAAAAACATACGTCTGCATGTTAATATTTTCTACCATGAAACAACTCATTTGGACAGCCCCAACAATCACAGGGCCATTGAGGAAATAAAAAAGTTTGTGTGGGAAAAGAAATAAACACAATTCCACCATGAATGTTTTTCTATTTCAGTACATAATAAATAACTTTAGTTGGGGTTTATTTTATTCATATAATTCTGGACTGTTTCATTTTGCCTTTTAACTCAAAACAACACTTATTATTCATGTACATGTGTAATTTTGTTTGCCAAGTGCTTAATTTTACATATTTTAAATACTCTACACATAATAATTTATCACTTTGATCTTGATTTTTATTTTTTTTTTTTTTTTTTTTTTAGAAATAAAATAAAAAAAGGCTGGGCAGATACAAAAATATAAAACCTTGTGTTGTTCCTTGTTAAATATTTAGACATTGGTGCCAAGAACCACAGACAGGGCAAGACCGCAATGAAAGTAGCAAATGTGAAGCGCTAAGAGCAAACAAAATATAATATTATATAAATATAACACCATTTTATTTAGTGACGGGCAATACCCGTGATTATTTTTTTTTAAACAGTAAAATGAAACAGACTCACACTTGGAGCAGAGAAAACTTTTTTCTTCCCTGTACGGTTAAAGTGATGATGGGACCCTGTCCTGCGCTGCCGTCATGCAGAGGTCATGTCTCACTCTGTCACTAGGCTCAATGTGTTGAATCCTCCTGACTGTTTCACACTCTGGAACAATGAGTGAATTCAAGGAGTTCCTGAGAGCACAGCTCAGTGACGAGCCCCTTGTAAACTTCTCTTTTGAATGAGAGCGAGATGAAGGGGTTTAGAACAATTTTCCAACGATCATAAGACCATGGAATTTTTAATTCTGTATTTGAAAAACTCTTGTTTTAATTGCAACTTTTGTATTCATTACAGGAAAAAAAAAAGATCAAACAAGTAAATATATGTAGAGATAAAGTGAAACTATTTGGATTTCAAAAATGTATTTAAAAACATGAATTTAAAGAAAGCATTCTGTGTTTTGTGTGACTTAATAGTACCAGCCTGTCTGTCAACGTCAGAAATTACCCTGAAGTTTAAATCTGGCATATTTACATAAAAAACATGTGTTCATTAATGTACTGTGCCTCTTCTAAATACGTGTTTTTATTGATTTTATTGCATTAATCCGTCCTTCCCTGGTTTGATTGACAGCTCCCTGCAGGCTGCAGGGGGAGGAGTTTGTAAGTTTTACTTACGACACACACAGTCTGCAGACACACAGAGACAAAACCACAGCAACACCACTCGACTGTGTGTGTTCTATGTTTTCTATTGTGCAGCAGCCACCACCAAACTGAAACCTCCACAGTCCAGAAAAAGGTAACTACATTATTTTTATTATAATGAGGTTTAGATCATCTGTTAACTGTTCATTTGTAGTTTTTCATCCTATATTTAGACGGTGTTTAATCACACATATTTCCTTTTCAGAAATGACACAGCAGGCAGGAAAAGTCTTCATTTTTTAAGGATTCAAGCTCTAAATGTAACGACATTCAACAAACAATCACAGAGGACTTGAGTCTGCCGAGCACAGAGGACCCAGCAGAATGTGACTGGGTCATTGTGTTTTGTCTGATTAGAGATCGAAGATCAGACGTACAATTTGCCCTTGAGCAGTTACCAGGTTTGTTCACATTTTATAGAAATTAAACTGCATCTGATTTCACTTCTGCTCTGGTATTTTCTGCAGAAACATTCTTCTGACATTGTGACTAAAATAATGTTATTCACTCTTCCAGAACCGGCAAAAACAAAACCAGTTATTTTAGTGGCGATTCATCACACGTGGAAAAAAAACGACCCAGACATTGAAAATTGGAACATCAATCATGAGAGAATTGTTCTGACTGTTTCTGTTCTTTTCCATGAAGATAAAGGACTATTTAGAGGTGAAAAATATGACAAGGCCATTCAGAATATAAAGGACATGTGTAATTACATGACTGAAAACAAATCACTTCTTACTGATTTAGAAAAGCTCAAACAGTTTGGATCATCATTAATTAAGAGTCGTTCAAAGAGAAGGCGCTCCTTAGTACGTTATCTTCCATGTATCTTTATAGTTATGTTTGTTTTGTGGCGTGGTTGGTCGTATTATAATTTGTCCACCTATCTGTGGTATGCTGTCCCGTCTTGCTCACTCTCAACATCCACCACCTCACCCTCCACGCCCTCTTAGCCCCACTGCATTAGCTGCCCACAAGATGCCTGTTAGCTGGAGTTAGTCTTCTGTGTTTGACCTGGTGGGACCTGCTGTCCTGTTTTGGCCTTTTGTTTGGTAACGTTAGTTTGGGGATGTTTTTTCCTTTAGGCTCGTGATGTTGACACCAGGTTCTATGGCCCTGTCCTGTTTTGGCCCGGTGCTGCATCCTTTTGTTCTGTTTGTTTGACTCTTCTGTTGTTACTTTGATTTTGGTTGCAGGAGGGTTTTTTGGGGCATTTTTACTGTAAATTAAAGATAACTTAAATAAACCTATTTAACTTTTGTAACTCTTTTGACCCCTGTGTCTCTTTATGTTTATCTTTTCATTGACCATGTCGAGGAATATTAAAAAACAAGATATTTAATACTTAATAACACGGTGATTCCTCTAAATATTTGCCATGTGCATGGTGCGACTTGTTAAAATTAAAATAGCTGAATACATTTTTACATTGTTACCCATTTGAAAATGTCATTCTCAGTTTAGTTATTTTTTATTTTAAAATCTAAATTTAAAGTCGACAAACATTTGTTTGTCCTTTTACCAAAAGTCAAAGTTTATTTAAAGATCACATACTGTGAGCCTGGTATAGGTATAATCTACGACATCCATGGATCATTATGTTATTATTATGTTATGTACACATTTTAAATAACAATATTATTCTAAAATGATTTAATTACATAGTCCGCAGACTACCACTTTAGAAACGCGGTGTCGAGTGGGAGCTGATATTGTTAGTGTTATAGATCTGTTGGGCCAGTATGTAAATGTCTCATATTTCACACGTAACAGAAGAGCGCCCTCTGCAGACAGACAGACAGACAGGCACAGACACCTGTCCCAGGGCCTCTGGGGGGCGCTGTTTAAATAAATCAAACCTTCTGTGACTTCATTTCCGCCTTGTCTAAAGTGGAGATGTGGATTTCTTCGTCTGCACTAAAGGAAAACAGTGAGGTTTGTATCTGTGACTCACACGGACAGTTTCTCATGTCTCCATTGGCGTTGATGTAAACGGCCGTGTGAGTTTGGTGCTTTTATCACGACATTCACACATACGAGTTAACACACCTGATTTACCTCATAGATAACTTGGGGATGATTTAATAAAGTAAAGCTCCCTCAAAAGAAACACGGATACCGCGTTTAAAACTAAATATTCGGTTTATTAAAGCTGGGTCCTTAGGGCCACGCCCACATCGGCTTATGACATATCACCCATAACAGATCCATAACACCGGCTCCTTCTGTGGATATTTGTACATCACACTAGAGAGCAGCAGATTGTTTTTAGAGCCGTCACCTTGCCTTTTGTACATGTGATTGACTGGACTGACTTGACCATCTTTCTTCACTCATGGGCCTGAATCCCAATGTTAACTTACTCCCCAACTTTATTATTTCATGGACTTTGAGCTGCACTAATGAAATACACAGAACTATTTATACACATGTCCTCTCAACTAAATTATGTCCAAACAAATGTATAGTTTCAGTCATTTTCTTTATATTTCATTCAGTTTTTTGTCAGTTTGAAAACTTGGGACATAAATGTGGCTTTAAACATCACCAAACTCAACAACGCTTGTTATTTGTTACAGTAGTTCTTTTTCCTTTAAAGGAACCAAAGTCTCTACAAGTCAGAAAGTTAATATATGGTGAGGCATGAAAATTAGAGCTCACAATGACAGACATTAAACACTGAGAGCTCGACTGTTCTTTAGTGGAGGCAGTTCCATTTTAAAGTCACAAACTCTGCTGATGATTGTGAGGTTCATATTTTACCCCCCCCAGATTTATTGTTAATTTGAAGACGAGGGTGTCTCTGTTTAAGGATGTGCTGGATCCAATGAGAAATCAAAGTGTAACATCAAATCAAGAGTAACAGTGCCCCCTGCAGGTTGGCCTCGTTACTGCAGGTCATGATTGTTGTTCTGCTGTCGTCTTTTGTCTTTTTCTGATGAGGACAGTGAAGGGCTGAACTTAAACTGAAGCTTCTGCAGTGACACGACGTCCTAGACCTAGAGGACTGATGACAGACTTAAAGTGCATTGTGTAACTTTCTGGTGGAGGGTTCGTCACCTGCTGATTGTTTCTATGGAAATGTCATTGTTCTGCCTGGAATGTTCCACAGTGACATTAAACATCTCTACTTTACATTTATTCAATTACAGGCGATTTTGTAGCTCAAAAATACTTTGAAAAAGAGGCATGTTGTCTATGAGTGGGGTCGCCTCTCCACAGATCTGAACTGTAACTTGTAATGTCATTACACCTGTAACTAATGCCATACTGTGAAACATTCCAGACAAAGCATTAACATCTCCATGGAGAAACACTTTTGATGGAGCCTCCACCAGAAAAGTTACACAATGGAACAGACCCTTAAGTCAAATAATAAACCTGAAAATAACAGAAGAAAAGAAAATCACAGGTCAGAGTTTTTAAAGGAGCTGCATCTGAAGCCCCGTTTACACGTACACAGGTATTTTTAAAAACAGACATTTTCCTTTTGTTTGTTTCCATCTTTTACACACAAACGGTGAATTTACCTCTGAAAATGAATCTTCGTAAAAACTTTCCAGAGATTCTGTAAAACTCTGGTTTGGTGTTTGTGTGTAAAGTGATATAACTTTACACACTTGTCACTTGTTTCATTTGCACACAGCTGATGTTTCAAGTCCATGACCAGAGACCAATGAGACTTTAACAGATCTGTGGAGAGGCGAGTCGCTGACAAATGCACGATTTTAAACAGATTGTGAGTAAAAGTTACAACTGTAATGAAATAAAAGTTACAGGTTTGAATCAAATCCAGGCGCCACCCAGAGGTTTGGTGTAGTTACTGTAGCTGGTACAATGCTGCAATATGAATTAGAAACAGACAGGAGCTATATTAGTAGTAGTAATAGTAATAGTAATAGTAATAGTAATAGTAATAGTAATAGTAATAGTAGTAATAGTAATAGTAATAGTAATAGTAATAGTAATAGTAATAGGCTAGTTCAGAAGACCATGGTTTGACTCGGAGAAAAATGGG